TGTATTTTAAAGAACGGTACTGGTTTTGGATGTCCTCGCCCCCCCCCCCCCAGGTTAAAAGACCCGGGGTATATTAAAATGTCTACTCGTGTAATGTAGGCTGAGGGATCTTCTAATTGGGGGAGTCTTCTATAGCGTCATTTACTACAGAATAAACATTAAATATTTCAACATTTCATCCATTTATTACATTTCATTAAACAATGACAAAATTGTAAAAATATATAAATATGTAAATATAAAACAAACTAGTTTTTGTTCCACATGCAACTAATCTTCATTTGAGTTGGTTTTACTGAAGTAGCTTGTTCTTTTCGTGAGATTTTCTCAGCAAGTTTGTCGATATAATCATCACTATGTTCATCATTAATTAATGATAAATGCTCGTTCGACTTTGGATCAAATATATAGCCTGGCATTGAACGAAGTGACACAGGTGCATCATCTGTCCATGTATATCCAACATCCTCAAAAGCTTTCGCTATATCAACATTAGCTAGAGTACGTTCCCATGCAGACCATGTGAATTTGGTACATAGAATACGTGATTGTGATGCTGTGAGTTTAATATTGGATCTTGGACCATACTTCTCAATATAATCTTCAGCAATATTGTCATAATTACTTTTAAAGATCGAGAAAATTACCACATCCAATACTTGTACATACATTGTACATCCACCAGGTACGACAGCTACAACTACTCTTTTCTTTTTCATATCGTTAATAATATCAGGTTCAAGATGAGATGTGCAACTATCAGTAATTAATAATTTCGGATAACCATCGTTCACCTATAATTTATGAAAAAAATTGGTTGTTCTCTAAAAGTTATTAATTATTCATACCCTAGAATGCCAAAACTCCAAGTAACGTTTAATTGTTATTCCATTTATAAATCCTTTTGGTGTAGAGTATACTGTAACACCTTGTGCATACTGACTTTTTTCGAATGATGACACACGACCTTTACCTTTAAATAGTAGAACCGGTCCGATTCGTGAATTATCTTCTCCAAAAACTGTCAGAATTAAAGTAGCAAATCTCTTGTCGCCTAAATTTCCATCAATGTCGTTTGGAGTACCAATATCATTAATACTTCTTTTTGATTGATCACCAAACAAAGCTAGTGGACTTTCGTCCATATTAAAGACATCACGAGGTTTAAAAGCACCCATTGGACCTCGTTTAACACCCCATTTACTTGCACGACGCAAGTACAAATGAAAAGACGTCACTAATTTATGAGCTTCGGATAGAGGAATCTTTTGTTTACGTTTTGGTCTTTGTAATGGTAAATTGCGTCGTTTTAAAAAACGGGCAAACCATTTACTAGAAGGTATTCTGTGTTGAAGCTGATGACTAATTCGTTTGCCTTTACGTTCAAGTTGCTTGAAAGACACTTTTTCACGACGTATAACATCTGAAGCTATATTTGTATTTGAATCGATCTTTGTTCGACGTTGTCGATACCAACTGTACAGCATTCGATCGAGTTCAACGAACTCCAATTTTGCACCACCACCATCAATTCGACAACGGGTTTTGCCTAAAATTAATGAGAAAAGATATTAGTATGTTATACGTCGTGAAAAAGTGTCTTTCAAGCAACTTGAACGTAAA